ATATATATGTACGTAGGAATATATGTGCGTGTTTCATTGGGTGCTATCCTGTACAATGTGTGTGTTTTTTTGTGTGTGTTTTTTGTGTGTGTGTTTTTTGTGTGTGTGTTTTTTGTGTGTGTGTTTTTGGGTTTTTTGCTACCGAGCAAAAGCTGGCATACTCAATGTCTTCTTTTCCCCGTCGTCTTGTATATCGACAAATGGGCGCGAGAGAAACAACAGGGAGTGGGGACGGGAGTTGAAGGGGGGGCGGGGGGCAAGAGCAACTAAAAGAAAAAGCGTGAGCAGATTGGAGTAAGTGCGTCTCCTTACGATGAAGCGTTGCTGCACCGTCACGTGGGAACTTGGGGAGTGGCAACGCGGCGTCTTTCTTCTCGTCGTACAAAATGCAAACGCGTAACTTTGAAATTGTCCGTTGGTATGTGCACTTTTTGCTCGCCGCCTTGTATGACCTCTTCTCCGCTGTGTCTGTGTGCGTGCGCGTGTCTTGTTTTTTTTTTTTTTACTTTTCAGTCCTTTCGCACCCCTCTCTCTCTTGCCCTCACACACGCAGAAGGAAAAGGGAACAAACGTCACTTGCTACTTTTTTGTTGTGCGCTGTAAAGTCTCTGTAGCTGCCACAGCCAGCAACAACAACAGCAACAACAACACACACAGTCCTCGCGGCCTGAGCGGTACCACCACAAGGCAGGGAAGAAGGAAGAGCGAGAGTGAGGAAAGCAACGGCCCAACATGCCCCGGCATCTCTTTTATTCCGCGATGCTGCTGCTTTTTGTGTTGTTGCTGTGCTGCGGCAACGTCGGTGGGGCTGCGCCCACTAATGTGTCACAGAGCGACGGCACAAAGCCTTCCGGTGGCGCGCAAGGCAATGTTTATTTGCATTGGGACGACGTCTCACAGGACGGGGGCACAGTCCACTCGCTGCGTTCGCCCAGCCTTGTGGAGGTTGGGGGTGAAGTTTTTGTCATTGCCGAGGCAGATTCCGCGCGAAGCGATGGTGCCAGCGTTACTGGGGTTGCGTCAGCCTCCCTCAAGCAAAGTCGCATTAATGTCGAGGTGAGCGCTCTGGCGACAGACGCGCTGAACGTGCGGGCTCAGCTGTTAATGGAGGAGACTGCAGCGGGAAAGGCTGTCGAGAACGCTGTGCGCCCAACAACCGTTGTGACGGACGGACATGTGTGCATGGTTCTGGGCAACGCTAGCCGTGTGGAGTCCGCCGGTTCTCAGCCGGGCAAGAAAAATGTATGGGAGCTGCTAATGGTAAAGGGGGAGGTCCGCAGCGAGGATGGGGCGCAGGCGCGAGAAGTACAATGGAGCAATACCTCCATTCTGACACTCGCTTCCCGTGTGGCACGAGGTACCTCCTTGACGCATCTCGCTGCTGGCGGAGGCTCTGGAGTTGCGATGGAGGATGGGACCCTTGTGTTTCCCTTGCAGGCCACAAGCAAGGAAGGGAAAGTGGCCGCATTGAGCGTGCGCTCAAAAGGGCCTGGGAAGAATTGGGTGCTGTCAAAGGGGACGACTGCCGAGGGCTGTGCGGATCCCGCCATCGTCGAATGGACAGCAGGGAAGCTTTTCATGCTAACGGCCTGCGACGATGGCTACTACAGGCTCTACGGCTCTGTCGACAGAGGGGGAACGTGGCTGGAGGAAGCGGAGGGTTTACTCGCCATCCTGGGGGCCAACGCAGGAGGTGAACGCAAGCGCGGCGTTCGCTGCGGTTTCGTCGCCGCATCTATTGCCGGAAAGGAAGTGATGCTTCTCACTCTGCCGGTGTACACTGAGGCAAAAGACGACAAAAGGAGAGGAGAACTTCATCTTTTTGTGACAGACAATCAACGCATCTTTGACGTTGGGTCGATATCGCGTCAGGGCGAGGACGCTACTGCCAGTTCTCTTCTGCTTCAGGGCGAGAATGGGGAGTTGATTTCACTCTACGAGCGGAGCAGTGATGGTGAAGCACGCAGTCTTGTGTCGGTGCGCCTTGGCGCGGAGCTGGGTCTGATAAAGACCCTTGCAAAGGCCTGGGCCGCACTGGACAACGCCTTGAGCACCTGCACCGCCACGGCCGAGGATGGGCTGCTCTCACAGCGCATCTGCCTGGTCCCCATGCCCACGAGAGGGCTGGCTGGCCTTTTGTCAGGTCCAGTCACGGGGAATAAGTGGAGAGATGCGTACTTTGGTGCGAACGCCCTTGTAAAGGACGGTGTCAGCGCGGCCAGGGGTGTGACTTTCAAGGGTCCTGGCGCAGGGGCGAAGTGGCCGGTGGGCGATCAGGGGAGCATTCTGCTCTTCCCGTTTGCAGATTCCCAGTTCACGCTTGCGGCAACCGTCACCATCCACGAGGCTCCGACGGGCGACCTCTCCCCTTTGTTGGGTCTCAGGGTTAGCGAGACGGACACCGCGGCACTCTTTGGCCTGTCGTACAGCCATGAGAGGACATGGACCCCTGTCATCGGCACTGAGCCCGTGAGGCTGGAGGAGGTGTGGGAGCCGCACAAATCCTACCAGGTGACGCTTGTTCTGGACTCGGACGCGTGCTTGGTGTACGTGGACGGGGCGCTGCTGTACGAGGGCGAAGCGGAGCCTATCGCTGAAGTGCTTGACGTGCATCGCGCCCCACACTTCTACATTGGCGGGTACGGCGCCAGTGACGCCGCCGCAGCTGGTATACATGTGACAGTGGCCAACGTGCTTTGGTACAACCGCGCCCTGCGCGACGAGGAGGTGGCGGCTCTGGCCACTAACAAGGAGAGCCTGCTGGTACTGGAGGCCGACAAGCTGTCCTGGGTGCCGGAAATTGCCGCGCACAAATATACGTATGTTGGCGCGGATGCCCCGCATGACACGGAGGTGGTGAGTAAAAATGAAAGTGCTGCTGCGCCGCCAACTGCGCCGCCATTGGCGGACGCGGAAGTCGGTCAAAATGACGCTGCGAGGGCGAACAGTGAGGCTGCACCGCGCCAAAAGGCGGTGGAACCCTCCCCGAACGAAGTCGCAGCTCAGTCGCTGCAGCACAAAGAAGAGGCACTGGAGGACGACAGCAAGAACGACACCGCGCCCTCAGTCGTGTCGGCTCCTGCGGTGGCGGAAGCGGAGGCGGCGCCGGCCAATGAGACCGCTCTGCCGAACAAAACTACAACCGCGGGCCTCGAAAAGAACTCCGCCGATGGCAAAACCGCGCAGAATGCCAATCACAGCAATGTTGCGCCCAGCGGCGCCGAATTGAGGTTCAGCACGGATCCCACACCCGCTCCTGCACCCGAGGCAGACGCACCTCCGGTTCAAAATGGCACGAAATTGTCCGCGCCTGTTGGCGCCGCCCCGCCCAATGCGAGCGGCACGCCTGTGCCTGGGGAAGCCCCTGCCGACGCCCAGCACATTCCTGGCTCGGACGAGCCAGCCCTATAATCCCACACGAAAAAAAAACCGCTGACACCTCTGGGAGGACGCTGAGAAACAAGAATCACGCGTGCAATGTATATGAATTTGTTTTTGCGTGTGGCTCCACTTTTTGG